ATGTACGTGTATATATATATACATGTCTATATTTATGTACGTATATATATATATACATATATAGATATGAATAAGTATTTTTATTTAGTTGTGTATTACTATATATTGATCATAGTCTATTGGTGTTCGTATATATATATATTTATATATATATATATATGGTTACTTCCTACATGTGAGTCAATACGTTATTTTACAGATATACAATAGGTGTATCGATTGCGCCATAGTTTCTTCCCCTCGGTTGTTTTCATCATGCGATCGCAGAATGTTATATATGAATGATCTCTGCTCATACCTATATCAATTAAGTACTTCAAGCATAATCCTCAGGTGTCTTTTGTTCTTTCTCTACGCTAGTGCTGCCTTCTCAAATCACCGTAAATACTTGTTCTGATACACGAACGCTACTTTAGACTTAGATAGATAGATGGATATATATATATATATATATAGTTATAGTCATAGTCATAGATATAATTATAGTTACATTTATAGACACAATTATAGTTATAGTTATAGTTGTAGCTTAAGTTACAGATGAGATACAGATATAGATTTAGTAGGTATATATATATATGACGTGCGATGTTCCTCTGTACTGATCATGCTATCGTTTCACCATCCCCAACAGACCAAAATGTCAAGCGCGAGGAAGGTTACACCGTGCAGTTGCAGAACATCAACGCCGCGGCTTCAGTGGCTGATGTCATCCGAACTTCTCTAGGTAATATATATATATATGTGTGTGTGTTTGAGTGTGCAAGCATTACGTTCTGACAACTTGTGGTTATGGGTGCTTAATAGATATCGACACGTAGGTATTCGAATGTTTTGCTTAAATGCTTCACATCTATTAACAGCAAATTCTATTTTTGTCGGCTTGTTTCTTTATAAACGGCAAGGTCGTTACGCTGCAAGATTCTTTTCGACACTTTATTCTACGCACGTCTCTAAGTTATATATATATATATGCCGGGCTGCAATCGAGGTGATTTTGCTTTCATTCGGTACCTTCACACATCTTGTGAAGTCCAAATGTAATCCTGAAGATGCCCTTATACTTCATGAAACGCGAAAGAAAAAGTTACGAACGATACTTAGTATTTACTATTTATATGTATGTTTATATATATACATGTATATATATATATATATATATTATAGTCTGTACACATACTAATAAGCCCGTTTACAATGCCGGGTATACTATTGAATTCCGCATTTAACCTATGCCTCGCTTCAATCAATGTTTATCTTGGTATATATTTATATATATACGTATATGTATATATATATATATATATATCTCATCATTTTGAGGAAAAGAATAAATTTGGTGCCATTCACCTTCTTTTATTAATATATATGTATCTGTTAACACCCTCCTGTTTCCTTTCTCTGTAGGTCCTTGTGCGATGTTGAAGATGTTGTTAGACCCCATGGGCGGCATCGTGCTTACCAACGACGGCAATGCTATTCTCAGAGAGATTGATGTGTCGCATCCAGCCGCCAAGGCTATGGTAGAGATCAGTCGCACTCAGGACGAAGAGGTGGGCGATGGAACTACGTCAGTAATCATTCTGAGTATGTTTAGATATTATGGATGGATGCCTATAAATAATAATGCAAATGGTCATGTATTGCTATATATTCGCGTGTGTATGAAGTACCTGTGGCACATTAGATATATCATTGAACGTTGTTGGTGTGTGTGTGTGTGTTATAAAAGTGTATCTGTCTATTTGGTAGCTATGGTAGCGCAAGTTTATACTCTACCAAAGATGGATATAGGAATAATATATTTAAATTCTATTTTGTGTGTGTGCGTCTGTATGAGTTTTTACGTCTATGTGTGTATTTGCACACATGATAAAAGTTATTTCATCACGAATATCCGCTTCACAACTTGTCATATTCTGTCTGTACTATAGTAGTCCTGCAGTACAATGAGCATTTTTCGTCCGAGATATTACCACAATTAGCATGGGAATCACCATAGCAACCATGCCAATACATGTATCATCCAGTATTCCATACATTGACATACCGTCGCTGTATATCTACCTACCTTCTTAGCCGGTGAGATGCTTTCCATAGCACAACCTTTCCTTCGGCGCAAACTGCACCCGTCTATTGTGGTGAGCGCGTACAGCAAGGCTCTCGATGACATGATCGACTTCCTGGAGAACTCTATCAGTATCGACGTGGATGTTTCCGATAAGTATGTATACATGTGTTATATGTGTGGATGTACTTGTGTACATACACATATTTGTAGGAATTTCGACGTGGTCCTTTCCGATATGTATGTATACATGTGTTATATCTGTATGGATGTACTTGTGTACACACATGTTTGTAGAATTCTATTGCCAATTCTATTCTTAGTCCTGTTCACACATACTCAATTAGTGTCGACGCGTATGTGGCAGATCAGTATAGACACGAGTGTTATCTACATATTTACATTTGTACACTATTCTCATTGGCATTTAAGTATATGCGTCCGCATGTAAATTTTCTTCCGGTGCAAGTACATCTTATGTATATATATATATATAAATATATAATTTCCGCACTCAAAAAACTCGTATACGCACCTGCATTGATTGACTTATATCTGAATCCATCTTTATCTCCGCAGAGAGCAAATGCTTAGTATTGTCCGTAGTTCCATAGGCACAAAGTTTGCGCGTCAGTGGTCTGACATGGTCTGCAACATCGCTGTGAATGCTGTGAAGGTCGTCGCACTGGAGAGCAATGGCCGCCAAGAGGTGGATATAAAGAGATACGCAAAGGTATGTTTACTGTAGTCGTATTGTAGATTATTTTTTTAAATTTAACTATTCATATGTAGGTGTTTCTGATTCTGCACGTGTATGTGCATGTGTATAATTGTGTGCAAATGTGTCTATTCGTGTATGTATGTGTATTCACACACACACACACACATATTTTTATATATATACATATATATTCGTGTGCATTGTATATATATATATATCCCATATATACCTGAGAGCACACCAACATACATGCACGTGTCGTACATCCTTCACACAGCTTACAAGCACCCTGGCAAGCGTGTATAAAATATCCTTTAAATGTACATACACTTTATATATGTGTTATAAACAAGTGCGTAAAATAAACCTCTCTCTCGTCTCCGTTTTGTTGTTTTTTTTTACAGATAGAGAAAATTCCCGGCGGAGATATCACGGAGTCTCAGACACTCAGTGGTGTTATGTTGAATAAAGACGTCACACACGCCAGCATGCGCAGGTATATATGTATCAATATCAATATCTGTATACTATTGTTAATACATACACCTGTAAATTGTTTTGCAGATCAATGGAGTATACGTATATATAAATGTATTTAAGTCCTTACAGATGGTGTGCATATGCGCGTACATTAATGATACGCATATACCATACCAGCTTCGTTGGGTATATACACTATCAGAGGCGACGTACCCAGTATTGTTGTATATTGCTCGTGATTGCATATATGTATGTACGTATGTATGTATGTATGTATGCATATTTGTATGTATGTATTCTCATACCCCTCCATGTATATCTGTACGTATAAAACACACCTAGTCAATATTAATACACTCATTATCGTGTATATCTAGCACGGTTACCTTCCCTGCGTCCTGTTGTGTGCGCCTGTTGACTGTATAGCATTCGTCTGCACAGGTTGATAAAGAACCCTCGCATCGTCCTGCTGGACTGTACACTGGAGTACAAGAAGGGCGAGAGCCAAACGAATGTGGAGATTGTCAAGGAGGAAGACTGGAACGCTCTACTCAAGCACGAGGAGGAGGTATGTTTATATGCCAGGATTTTAAGGGTCCAAGGGGTTAGCTTGTAGTCATGCGCATGTGATTTTACGGATTTTTGTGGTGTTGCAACTGTAGACCTCTGAAGATAGTATGTTTAGTCTATCAGTGTTTGCAATAGGGGCCTTTGGTGTATGACTATACCGATATGTCCGTTGATGTGCAATAAATAGTGTGCGTATAATATATATGTATACATATATATATATATATATATACATATATATATATATGGTGTGAGCTTTGATTGTGCTTGTACCGTGAGAGTATACAGAAGAGTGAGAGGGGGAGAGTCGCGCGTATAATGTGATTGTTGAGAAAGGGCACTGAAACACTTTGCCTAAACACCTAAGAAAGCTGTGTGATACCCATCGGGGTGTATGTTTGACATATCACCATTACGTTCTACTGATATGTACGCTGTATCTAGAGTGATATACGTTGTTGTACGCAAAGATACATTGCTGTGCTTCGTGTAGTGAACTGAGTGGTGTAGGGTTGTAGTGTGCTTTGTAGTGCAATACAGGACTCTTCGGGTGTTTTCGCTTACCTTAAGGCTGTCCGCCACCGGTAGTAAACGTTTTCCGAAACGGACGGATTCTCGAACTATTCGGAAGACAATTCTGAACGCGTTCTTTCACGCCGGTGTTAAAGATCGGGAATATCCGACCGTATAATTGGAACGTGAGTGTTTGATATAGCCCACGAGTACGTACGCGTGTACAAACAGCCAGGCATGCAGCTAAGGATGTATCAGTACACATAGAGTTCACATAGTCACATGTGGTTCTGCCCTTCCCGCGCTACCACTGACTTGACTTCCAAATGTGTACTCGCGCATGAAGTTCGGTACGAAATGATGTGACTATATGACCCCTCCGTGGACTGAAACGGACAATTGTATAATCACTCACACACACAACACATACATACACACACATATATATATATAAACATACATACATACATACATACACACACACACATACATACATACACACACACACACATACATACATACATACACACAGGTAGTGAAGCAGATGTGTGACTCCATCATTGCCGTCAAACCCGACCTTGTGATCACGGAGAAGGGTGTGTCTGATCTGGCGCAGCACTGGCTGACCAAGGCAGGCATCACAGCCATCCGACGAGTGCGCAAATCAGACAACAATCGCATTGCACGCGCCACCGGTGCGACTATTGCCACACGCCCAGAAGAACTCACAGAAGAGATGGTGGGAACACAGTGTGGACTATTCGAAGTCAAGAAGATGGGCGACGAGTATGTTGTGTGTAGTGGCATATATATAGTATATATATATATATACGTGTGTGTGCTTATGCTTATGCTTATGCTTATGCTTATGCTTATGCTTATGCTTATGCTTATGCTTATGCTTATGCTTATGCTTCGGTGTATCATATTGGTTTGCACGTCATACGTAACATCCGCTAGAAGTTGATCCTTGTCCAGGCTAGACGTTTGTCACCGTTTGTAAGGAGCTGTTCGCCCTACCATCCTTCAGTGCGGTACAAGCAATGTTGTGTACAACCAAACGCGTTCAGTTATTTTCATTAAGTAATGCTCACACAGTCACACAACAGGCTCTACGTTTACGCATATGTCACACTATCGCAAGGCTTATCGAACAGTACTTTAACCAGGTACTACATCATTCTCATCGAGTGTGAAGAGCCAAAGACGTGTCTTATTCTCCTGTACTTCTCTAGCAGTGCTCTGGAGTATACTGAATGCAGATCACACACTGGCCACCACATTCATATATATATATATAAATCATTCATACTAATATCCCATATTCTTTTTCAGGTACTACACCTTCCTGACCGAGTGTAAGGAGCCTAAGGCGTGTACCATCCTTCTGCGTGGTGCCAGTAAAGACGTGCTCAATGAAGTCGAGCGCAACTTACAGGATGCCATGTGTGTGGCTCGCAATGTTATGCTCAGCCCTAAGCTCTGCCCCGGAGGTGGTGCGACGGAAATGGTATGTAGTTGCGTTGTTGTTGTTCTTCTTAAAGTGTGTATGTGTGTGAGAAGTTATGTACTATGTGTGTGTAGTATGTACACATATATGTGGCTTGTATTGAACCATCCCTCCCTCCCCATCCCATACGCAGGCATTAGCCGCTCTGTTGACGCACAAGGCTGATTCCATCGAGGGTGTCCAGCAGTGGCCGTACAAAGCCGTCGCGAGTGCCTTAGAGGTCATCCCCCGCACACTCATACAGAACTGCGGGGCCAATGTTATCCGTACCTTAACCAAGCTCAGAGCCACCCATGCTCAGGAGGGTATGACGACCTGGGGTGTGGACGGCGAGACGGGTAAGCTGGTAGATATGAAGGACCTGGGTGTGTGGGAGCCTTTGGCCGTGAAGCTACAGACGGTTAAGACGGCGATTGAGACGGCTTCGATGTTGCTGCGCATTGATATGATTGTGTCTGGCTTGAAGCGAAAGAAGGACCCAGCCGCCCAGTAAAGTATATAGACACATTAAACAAACATATGTATATATATTATACACACGCATAGCTCCAAACTTCATAAACATGTGTGTGCGTATGTGTATCTGTATTTGTATCTTTTATTGTATGTGTATCTGTAGATGTAGGTGGATGTGGATGTGTACCTATATGGAGCTCCATACATATACATATATGCATTGATCGGTCAAGGCAACGGTCAATAGGCGTCGATGTTACTGCATGTTGATGTGATGGTGTCCAATTTCGAGCGAAACAAAGCCAAAAAAAATCATGGGTCAACCATAGCCTTCTAAATTATTCTTATCAATATATATAATATTATGTCTGCGCCAATGTATCATGTTTGTGTTTGGCATGACCCTCTAATAGAATAAAAATAGAAAGGTAACAAAGAATAAGCTGAACGGACTAACATCCGAAGGACTGTTTGGTGTATTAGGGTCTTTTACTAGGATCAAATAGGCAAAAAGTAGCCCATGACAAGCTTATGTACTTATCGTTCTCGAAACCAACTATGATCAGACTGGTCACGGGTAACCTTATTGGTCGATGGCGTTTTATTTTGCCAATACTTCAATACAACTATCCGCCAAAGTTGTGTCTTGCCGATAAAAGCTGTTTTTGGATCAGAAAGCCAATTTTTAGATATTAGGTTTCCTTAGGCTTCAAGAGATATACTTGGGCTTCGTTGTGTGTTCACGTTTGACATTTGTTTCACGGAAAGATTCAGAGCTAGCATATTCAAGGCTGTTTTTTGGACGTTTTCAGCTTTTAATGGACAGATTCTGGCTTCAATTGTTTGCACTCATAACGTTCGCCTCCCCATTATACACTCAGATTGGATTAAACGGTCTTTTTTTTTTTTGGCCAGGGTTGATTTTAAAATCGGCCACATCCTGGCATTTAATTACCGCACTTATAACATTTGCTCCACTCAAAGATCCAGGAAATTGTACCGATCTTTGTTGCTAGTCAAGATGCAGAAGATATGTACATGTGACGTACGTGTCTCAATTCTCACAAATGAAAATCATCTATAAACACCCGTAAAGTACTACGTACATGATTCCAGGCCAAACATCCATAGAGCATACATGTATACCTCTAAAGGCACAGATAGCCCTACAGGCAAATATTAGCACATACTATGTAGATATATGCTTTCAAGGTATATGATTCAACACTCGTTGATTCATAAGGTAGGATAAAATCCCAAAATATTGTGAGCATGACATCGAACCACGTACGAGTTTACTCGGATCTAAAACCGGCTGCAGATATACCAACAAGCTCGAGGGCTTTCTGTGTGATGCCATACCCATCCACGATATCTAATATTCATACTAAGCATATGTATTCTCCTGAACTTGCGCATACAGATAACCTCATTTCAACTGCATCAATCTAAAAGAGGACTCAACAAAAAACACTCTGCTTGTATGAGTTCACCACATCCAATAGTAAATATCGTTCTAGCTCAATCGAATCTGTTGTCACAACAATATACTCTGGGTGACCGCTGTGTGGTAAATTTACGCCAGACCTATTTTTCCTAGCAATCCCAGCTTTACACTCAAAGAGTATAAAAGTATTATGGAGCATCACGATTATACCGATACTCAGACGGTCTCCTCCATACCCGATACCACGTTTACGAGTGAGAAAAACATACTCGCAAATGTATGCTATTTATAGTACACATGTGTGTATGGAAATACCTATGGACGTATATTGACAAAGCCGAGTGTAAATAGTTAGAAATTCATATCTCAAGTAGTGTACGTGTATGAATATACCTATGTACATAATCCTCTGGCGAGGACGGTGCTCTCATTGAAAACATCGATCTCCCCCTGGGACGAGAAGGATGATTTGTCATTCCCTC